ATATTAGCATTATAACACTTCTAAAATCCAACAACCCTATGTGGCCCTTCAAACCAGATTCCCCGTACCACGAGTAGTTAAAAGATATTACAATAACACTTTGTATATTATATTTTATAATACATATATTGTTTATAGGTTCATAATAACGATATTAAACTTAAACATAAGCTATACTTAAAGTATGGTAAACATAACTTACTTATAAGAGCGTTTGGCTAGGAACCGGACTCTGCGGGGAAGAACTTCCGAGCCGGAAGCTCTTCTTCCCAGAGCCTTCTGGCGCTCTAGGACTCGCATATTAGCACTTGGGAAGTACTAGGGATTGGAAGGGGTTTAGAAAAGATGTTTGAGAGAAAGAAAGGCTTAGGTGTGAAGAGTATGGGAGGACCTCGCATCCTATTTATAGTGGCAGCTTCGGACTACGCTGAGCGTAATCCTCGGACTACGCTGCGTGTACTCAGTACGTTAGGCATACGAGAGGCTACGTTGCGCGTAAAAGGGGCAGCTGTCAGCATCCGAATTGAGGACCGTGGGGAGCAAGCGAGGGCTGAGATTAAGCCACGTCACCCTCCTCGCACCAACACACTCCCGACTTCTAAATTCTGTAACTTTCGCATATGAGCTTCGTTTTTGACGTTCTTTACATCCACGTGTAGGTGGAAACGTATTGTACAACTTTCATTTAGACTTCGTCGGCTAGTTTTGAATTTATTTTTTAAAGTTATATTTTAACAGGCCTGAATAGATAAAGTCCGTTAAAAATTCATAACTTTGTCATCCGATGTCCGTTTTTATCTGTCTTTATATCGTTGAGTTCTGATTAACGAGATCTTCGATTCTCGTTTAGATTGTGTCGGCTAAAAATCTATCGATCTAATATTCGAATTCCGGACTGTGCACTGTTATGCTAAATCTTAGAAAAATCGTAACTTCCTCATACGAAGACAGATTTGGACGTTCTTTTCATGCACGCTCTCGGTTTAACGTATACTACGACTTTTGTTTAGATCGTTAAGGCTAAAAAGTATCTTATCGTAAATTCACTTTTTACGATTCCGGATATCGTGCAGGTTTTGCCTCAAAACTTCGACAGACCATAACTTCTTCGTTATAAGTCAGATTTCAGTGTTCCTTATATCCCCGAAATCCTTGTTACGACTACTTCAACTTTCTTCATAGATATTGGGTCTATCTATCATTTTATTTTTGACGCTTATTTTTATTATTATTTTATTATATCGTTATAAGCAAGTATAATGCACATAAATCACATAATACTCAAGTAATTCCTTTTCATTACTTCAAAATATGTTACAATTGTTGACCCTAACTATTACATTGTTATGATAACGCTTAGCCTAGAAACATGGGCATTACAGGGCAAAGGTGGGGTTTGCATCCTGCCTGCTGAGGGACCGAGCACGTGACTAGTGTGATGAGGTTGGTCGAGCAATAGGATCTGCGGTTGTGGCAGCCATGACTTGGGAGGATTTTGTTTCAAGGTTTCAGAGGGAGTTTGCACCAGCTATCGAGGTGCAACATCTAGCGAGGGAGTTCCAGGACCTTTGCCAGACTACTAAGACTGTGGTGGAGATTACCGCCAAGTTCCTTGGGAGGGCTCTTTTGCTTTCGCAGTACGCTGCGGATGAGGAGATGAAAAAGATGAGATATCATGACATGCTGAGGGATGACATCAGGGAGTTTGTGAGCTTCTCAGGGTGCAAGACCCTGAATGATATGATTGAGATGGCCCGTGAGCGGGAGATTGAGCTGGAGCTTCGATCGAAGTGCAAGTCGGAGTAGGTACAGATTGCCGTGGGCCAGGCTAAGAGGACCAAGGTTTGTGATTCGCACTCTAGGGGCTAACGGGGTTGAGGCCGTTGCAGTAAGTGCGACACGCAGCACAATAGGGCTTGTCGATCAACGGGTTTAGGTTGTTACAGATGTAGGCCCACTGGGTAGTGGCGGTGACTGCACCAGCCACCTTGAGGATTATTGATGCCCGTTAGGACAAGGGAGGAACTTGTAGCAGGATATTTCAGCTGACCACCGATGAGGCACGTGCAGCACCGGATGTGGTTACTAGTATGTGTGTTATTCATATTTTTTATTGCTTTCCTTATTCATGCTCATGATTATATTTGATTTTTTATAGGGATATTTTTGGTCAATGGTTTTACCGCTCATGTATTGTTTGATTCAGGAGCTACCCGATCCTTTGTATCTCTTGCGCTTAGCAAGAAGTTCTGCGATGCTCCCGGGATTCTGGATTTCCTGTTGGAGGTCGAGATTGCTGATGATCGTTATGTGAGTGCTTCGAGGGTTGATTGTGGGTTTGTCCTGAACCTGTTCAACGAGAGGTATTCTATTTATTTGGTGTCCATTCCTCTGTGAGGATCGAAGGTTATCATCGGGATAGACTGGTTGGGTCCCAGTGGGGCCATGATTGACTGTGAGCGCCAGCTTGTGAGAGTTCGAACCCTAAGTGGTGGAGAACTAGTTATTCCTGGTGAAGGAGCTTCACATAGGCCAGCTCTTTGTTCAGCTACGAGGGCCAGAAGATATTTGTAGCATGGTTGTTCTGGGTTCCTGGCTTATGTGACAAATACTCGAGTTAAAGGCACGACGACACTGAGTGAGGTGCCCATCGTTCGGGATTTCCCTGATGTGTTTCCAGAGGAGTTACCAGGAGTGCCTCCCGAAAGGCAAGTCGAGTTTCGGATTGATCTGGTTCCCAGAGCAGCTCCAATAGCCAAAGCAACATATTGCTTGGCACCACCAAAGATGCATGAGTTGTCTACGTAACTTCAGGAGCTGCTAGACAAGGTATCTATTCGGCCCAGTAACTCACCTTAGAAAGCACCAATCATGTTCGTGAAAAAAAAGATGGTTCACACAGGATGTGCATTGACTACCAAGAGTTGAATAAGTTAACGGTGAAGAATCGTTACCCACTTCCGAGGATCGACAATTTATTTGATCAACTTCATGGTGCATCTTGGTTTTCCAAGATTGATTTACGATCAGGTTACCATCAGATGAGGGTCATGGATGATGATGTATATAAGAAAACCTTTAGAAATAGTTATGGTCATTACGATTTTGTGGTGATGTCGTTTGGGCTCATCAATACACCGACATTGTTCATGGATCTCATAAACCGGGTTTGCAGGCCGATGCTGGATTGGTCAGTGATAGTATTCATAGATGATATCCTGATCTATTCCAAGACCAAGGAGCAGCATGAGGAGCACTTGCGAGAGGTGTTGGAGACCCTAAGGGAAGAGAGGTTGTATGCCAAGTTCTTCAAATGTGAGTTCTGGTCAACCAGAAAGGTATATTGGTCAACTCGGCCAGGATCGAGGCCATGATGTGATGGGAGGTTTCGAGGACCCCATCTGAGATTCGAAGCGTTTTAGGCCTCACAAGATATTATCGGAGATTTATCCAAGATTTCTTCAAGATTGTAGTGCCTCTGACCCATCTAACGAAAAAGAATGTTACTTTTCGGTGGGAGCCTGATCACCAGTTGGCATTCGACACGTTGAGGCAGAGATTGTGTGGGACCCCAATCCTCGCGCTTCCTGAGGGTATGGACGATTTTATGGCTTATTGTGACCACTCTATATCAGGTTTGGGAGTTGTCCTTATGTAGAGGGGGCATGTGATTGCTTACACTTCGAGGCAATTGAAGTCTCATGAAGCGAATTATCATACGCATGATTTGGAGTTGAGGGCTGTGATTTTTGCCATCAAGATTTGGAGGCACTATGTGTATAGGTTAGGTGTTCTATCTAAACTGACCACATGAGTTTGAGATACCTAATGGATCAGCCGAATTTGAATATGCGGCAACAGAGATTCTTAGATGTGGTAAACGATTATGATTGCGAGATCCTTTCTGGTAAGGCCAACATGGTGACCGATGCTTTGAGCCGTAAGACAGTGAGTACTCTTGTCAGGGATATTTGTTTGATGATGATGATTACTTCGCCTTTGTTGGATATGGTAAAAAAGGCTCAGGTGGAGGAATTGAAAAATGAGAATTGGAAGGCTAAGCGGATCAGGGGACATATTCTTTTATTTGTCAGAGACAGTCGAGGGTTGTTGACTCAGTGTGGTAGAGTTTGGATTCCGACTACTGGTGGAGTGAGACAGATAGTTTTGAAAGAGGCTCATAAGTCAAAGTTTCGATTCATCCAAAGGCCACAAAGATGTATTAAGACCTTAAGTTGAGTTATTGGTGGCCATGTATGAAGAGGGAGATAGTATGGTTCATTGAGCGGTGCTTGATTTGCAAGAAAGTCAAGGCCGAACATCAGAGACCCCACGGTAAGATGCAACCATTACGAAATCCCATGTGGAAATGGAAAAAAATTACCATGGATTTCATCACAAAGTTGCTATGGACGACAGATGCATTTGATTGTATTTGGGTCATTGTTGATAAATTGACCAAGAGTGCACATTTCATTCCTATTACCGAGAGTATATCTACTAAGAAGTTAGTTGAAATCTATATTCAGGAGGTGGTGGTTCGGCACAGGGTGCCAGTTTCGGTAATTTCAGAACGGGATGTTCGTTTCACCTCCATGTTTTGGAGGAAATTTCATGAGAAATTGGGTACTCAGTTGCATTTTAGTACGACATACCACCCCCAGACCGACGGACAGAGTGAGCGGACAGACCCGAGGGTTGATACATACCTAACATAGCCACGTGCTGTTATATTTTATATGTGTGATGTATGTAGTATTTTGGAAAGCTCACTAAGCTTTGTGCTTACAGTTATGTTTGTGGTTTCAGGTACTTCCAGTACAAAAGAGAAGGGTCGGTTTGATCGCAACGCATCCACCAATGTTCTGCATTTTCTTTATGATTTGGATTTGTACTCTGATGATTACTCTCGATTGACACACTATGTTTGGGTTTTATTATGAATACTTGGTTTTTTTGATTAAATTAAAAATGAAAATTTTATCCATGTTTTTAGGACGTTACACTTTTGTTGTTCCTTTATCATTTGCATTCATGGTAATAGAAACAACATTATCAATCACCCCATCATCCATCACCAATCTACAATACTGAATGCTTTGAGAACACAACGAAAGAAAAATCTCTAAAGCCTGCTCTTGCTCTTCACAACTCTCACTTTCAAGAACCCTAGCAACAAAAGATACGCACCCTTTGGTCTCGGCAATTATGCTTTTATTATCTTCATTCCCACATAGATTTGTCAAGATTGCTATGCGGTATCTTGAGAGTGATTCGTCTTCAAAAAGGGCGACAAGTTTAGGGATTAGATCTGAAGAAAGGAGAGAACGAAAGTTTTTGGTTAAAGTCAAATTATACATAATTTTTAGGGCTGGAGTTTGAAATTGTATAATTTGGGAATCGAGAATCTAGAAGATTTGAGTAAGAACACAAGAAGCAATTTCAAATCAATGATTTTGGTGAGAAGACAAATTTTCAATTAGATGTTGTTTGTTTTTTCTTAAAAACCTCTTCTAACCACTTATTGTTGCGTCACGCAGCACACGCGCATCACTTGTCCCTTCGCAACTGTTTGTTTTTCAGAAGACTTCTGACTTAAAAACTGTTGCGCGTGTACTGTGTGGCACAACACTTGACCCATTGCTTCAAAAATCTTCACACCTTACTTTAACTTATTGTAACAGTCTGCAGATGTTAAAAAACAAACTTTTATTATAGGTTGCAGCCGTTTGGTCCCCCTCTTCTATTACAGATGGTTGCAGAGGTGGTCCGCAGACTACATACATTTTCACTTTAAAAAACAAACGACACCTTATAGCGAGCACCTCTTCTATCATTTCTGAATCAAGAAACTTGATATCAACTTGTATGCATCATTATTCATGATTTTTATACTTCGGCAAAAAAAAATTCAATACATAAATTGTTAAAGAAGAAATTCTACAAAGGCAACATAAATACCTACATTTGGTTATCAAGATTTTTAATAGCAAACATCCAATTCTCCGAGCTTTAACATCATTTATATCACGTGGAAGTGAATCATCAAGTCTCACAATCATGAAATGAATCAACAACCATAAAATCTTCAATAAATTTGCATTGAAACTCCCATGGAAGTGAATCATCAAGTTCTGAAGATAATTTCACATCCATATCACAAGTATTTCCTAAAGAACTGAGTGATAAGGTACCATAATCATCTTGAGATAATTCCACATCCATATCACGAGTATTTTCCAAAGAACTGGGTGATAAGTTACTGAAATCAACACCCGAAAATTGAAGACTATTCATAGAGCTCAAACTAGTAACCGAAGAAGATGAATTCTCCCACGTGCTTACATCTGTTGAAAAGTCAACACAAGGATCCGAAATACTGACACCATGAGTCTCACACCATTGTGAAATCATACGCTTCACGTTTGTATTTGGCTTTAATGAAAAGTTTAATAGTTTCCTTTTAGTTTTTGGACAAAAATCATTACCTTCTTCAAACCATTGCTAAATCCACATTCTTTCAAATGTTTCACCGGTATTAATTACAACAGGATCATACATCACCTTGAGAGACATCGGATACTTGAATTCTTCAGGAGGAACACTTTCACCTCTTCCAATAATACCCTTTGGAGGTTCTTCACAGTCACTAGTAACCGAAGAATATGAATTCTCCCACATGTTTACATCGATTGAAAAGTCAACACAAGGATCCGAAATAGTGACACCATGAGTCTCACACCATTGTGAAATCATATCCTTTATGGTTGTATTTGGTGTCAATGAAAAGTTTAATAGTTTCCTTTTAGTTTTTGGACAAATATCATTACCTTCATCAAACCATTTCTGAATCCACATTCTTTCAAATGTTTCTCCAGTATCAATAACAACAGGATCATACATCACCATGAGAGAAATCGGACACTTGAACTCTTTTGGAGGTTCTTCACGGTCAACAGAATAGTCAACTCTACGGGACCAATAAACTTGACTTTGAACAATGCTATCGTTCTCTTCATGCACAGATGCAATTGAATGTCCATGTTTTTTTAGCAAATCCAAAAGGATCATGAGAATCCGTTTCTTTTGTTGATCACTATCTCCTTCAAGAAGTTTGTTTAAAAGTTTCTTGATTGATCTTCGTTCAATTACAAGAGCTTTTTGAGATGTTATTTGAAGCTTTAAAGCAACTATTCGAATACACTCATTTTCATATTCTGAAGAATTTCCAGTATTATTGTACCCTTTGAGTAATGTTTTTACAGTTTTTCCAGCTTCTTCTTCACATGGATCTAAACTAATTTTCACCCTCCTAAGCTCTGTAATTATCAATGAGATCTGCATATAACATTTTTTTGTATTAATTCCATGATATAATAATTTGTATCATTTTCAAATCAACATATGATAAATTGACTAACCTTTGATGCAAGCATCACAGGAACCATTTTTTGTATCTGGCTCAAATTCTGTTCCAATAAGATTTTTGTTTTTTTACATCTTGAAAGAACCGTATTTCCTGTGAGTGCCTGAATAAATCCAAGATAAACCAAAATCAAATGTCAAAATTGGAAATTTTGAAATAATTGGAAAAACCCAATTGAGATATCGTATAAAAAATGTAATTTTATAATCGGAAAGCAAATACATACCAAGTAAAGCTTACTGGATTCACTGCAATCGTGAATCAACGATTTGGCTTTATCAATTGCAATATTTAAGTGAACAAGTGACTTAATACCAGATTCACATCGAGGTCTAGCTGCTTTTATTTCTGGAAATATTTCAAGAACACTCGAGACTAGCTTCATAAGTTCTGTACACATAAAGCTATGCACCTGGTTTCACCAATATGTCACTAATAAATTAGACTTTGAGCTCTGATAACAATCTGAAATAACTCGAATTAATCTAAAATTAATCACAAATCAATACCTTGATGTTAATCGGCGATGGGAAGTTCTCTACAGTTTCAGTAATGTCAGTCCCCATCTGTGTAAAAGAGCTAATCTAAGTCTGCAAAAAGGTTGGAACACGAGATTTTTATCAAAATAAACATTGGTCAATTACACCAGACAAGATTTACAGACTTTAAGGAAGAAAATTCATATGAATTTCAGTCAGGACTCTCGTTTGATCATACTTTCACAGAATCCTCTAGCATATTGGCTTACGTTTTCTATGCCAAGAATCGTAAGTGTCCACTTGGATTATCCTAGGCTGAATTTCTTGTAACCCAGACATAGGGTAGAAATATCGGTTCGGAAAGTGATATCACGATCCAAGTCGGTATCCAGATCTCCACTACAAACCCTAAAATTCCTAACATGTTTCTGGGCTAAACATTAATGATGATATAATAGTCTAGTTTAACCATTGGAACTCGTTTTGAAGTAATATGAATGAATTATGTGCTTTAAACTTAATTATTATGATTAAGGATAAAAATAAGCGTCGAAAATTAATATTAGATAAAGCCGATATCAATGAATGAAGTTGTAGTGGTTGAAACAAGGATTCCGGAGATATAAAGAATACCGAAATCCGAGTTATAACGAAGAAGTTATGACATGTCGAAGTTTCGCGACAGAACCGACACAACGCTGTATGACGTAAAAAGTGAATCTTCATTAATATACTTTTTAGTCTTAGTGATCTAAACCAAAGTTTTAGCGTTCGTTAAACCGATAGCGCGCATAAAAAGAACGCCCAAATCTGACTTCGTATGAAGAAGTTATGATTTTTCTAAGTTTCAGCTTAGCTGTATGTAGCCCGAAGTTCGAATTTGAGATCGAATGATTTTTAGCTGACACAACCTAAACGAGAATCGAAGATCTCATTAATAGTAGTGCAACGGTAATAAGACAGACAAAAAAGGACGTCGGATGAAGAAGTTATGAATTTTTAACGGACATTTCCTGTCCCGGCTTGTTAAAAATATAACTTTACAAATAAAGTCAAAATTAGCCGATTGAGTCTAAATGAAAGGCGTAGAGAATAATTTCACCTACGCGTAGATATAAATAACGTCAAAAACGGAGCTCGTATGCAAAAGATATGAATTTTTGAAGTTTTTAAATAAAAATAAATAAAAATTTGAGCCTTATCCGAGGAGGTACGCCCCGCGTAGAGACTTACGCCCAGCGTTCGCATGGCAAGACCTCGGATTGACCACGTCTCCGGTATTCGCATGATGGCCACGTTGCAGACACTCCCGAGCCACGTGCCCTCCCTTCCGAGAATCGGACATGTAGCCTCGTACGCCCCGCGTACAGCAAGACTACGCCCCGCGTAGTAAGCTGATCCGGACCCTATAAAAGGGATGCGAGGCTGCCCGTATTTTGTTTACAAATTCTTACATCTTTCACCCTCTACTCTCCTTTTTACCCACTTTTAACCCCCCGCAGCCCCGATATCATCACTGACACCCGAAGCAAACCCCAGAGAGCCCGAAGATCCCGAGAAAAATAGTTTTCGAGCCGAAACTATGCCCACGTGAAGCCCGGTTTTTGAGAAAACATCTCGGTTTCATCGGAAACGATCGTTTTAAGAAACGAGGTGTTGTCCAATCGTCGTCTTATCAAGTGAGTGTATAGTCACTTTCATCTCACACATAGATATGAAGTATTTTATATAAAATACGTGCTATGTGTATATATGTTGTTTGTTTATTTGAGATGGATGATGAAAGATTGTTTTATACAAATTCTAAACTGTATATGTATTTTATATCTACAAATATGTTGGGTAAAACATGGGTAGATAAAGTATGAGGGATGAAAGATGATATAGATGAATATTGGCAGCTGCGCCATAAACCGTAAGTGTTTTTGATTTACGTATTCACCAGATGTATTTTAAATATCTTGGCAGCTGCGCCTAAAGGATAATATTGGTAGCTATGCCTAATAGAGAACGTTATAATCCTGGCAGCTGTGCCTAAATGATGTTATTGGCAGTTGTGCCTAATAAATAACATTGGCAGCTGTGTCATAGGCAAAGATGGACTTCGTGCTTATTTCTTAGGTTAATCCTTAGGAATGAATGAACGATGAATAGCTGATTTCTTAAGGTGGATCCTTAAGAGTAAAGAAGATAATGGGGGTGGGAAATTGGGTTGATTGTTTGATATTTAAACATAATTAATAAATTTATTGTTGGCTGATGAATTAATAAATTTATTGTTGGATGATGAATTAATAAATTTATTGTTGGATGATGAAATTAATAAATTTATTTATTGTGGGATGAAAACCCTATATGCTCATCAGGCTCCCAAGCCTGACCCACTCAGCTTTTTACATTACATGTAGTGGACCCAGAACATAGTTGGATGACAACGAGGGATTTTAGATTATAGGCCAGTAGTTGTAAATAACTGTTGTAAGGTTTATGATGTACTGTTTATGCTTTTGGTCTGTATCGGAACATGACATCCCGAGGTTTTGATATATAATGAAAATACATATTTCTTTAAGAAAAGTTTTGATAAATTTTTATCATGTTTTGTTTTGGGGACAAATTCCGCAACATCTTTTAAAAGATTACTCTGATTTTTATAAATTAAATCGGTATTTTCTGGCCAAGAAATTTGGGGATGTCACAGTTGGTATCAGAGCATTAGTTTAAGCGAACTAGGAATTTGTAGGATTTCTAGACTTAAACTTAGAATGCTAAGTGATGATCGTGAGATTAGTGTCTACCATATTTTAGACACGAGCACTAGTATATTTTAGGAAAGATTCCTAAAATACTTTTATGTGCTAAATGTTATATTATATGTTTGCCATATATAATGTTATTTGATCGAATCTATGGTATGTTGCCGACCGGATCTGGGAACCTTATGTGTTTAGGATTCTAAGCGTACGACTACGATATTAGAACTAGCATGTAACGTTTCGGAGTGATAAGGAGAATTTAAATATCTATCGTGAATAAAGATCTAAATTCGCCTTATTTGGTGTATAGATTATAATGGAAAGAACTCGAAGTGGAGCTGGAAATGCAAATAGAAACCAACAACCTCAACCCCAAGTGATGGAACAGGTGCCTATAGCAGAAGTTGCACCAGAACCGATCACAATGGTTGGGGTACAAGCCATGATTCAGACAATGATGGCTGAACAAAGGGAGGAAATGAGGCAAATATTGTTGAACAACAGGAATGAACCTTCAATGCCTGTTGAACAACCTGAACTCAATGATGATCAGTCTGAGGAAGGAAATTACAGTAGATCTGTTGGTCAAACTGAACCGCTTGTGGTTAGGAGGAATAACCACGAGGATGGAGTGGAGAGAAATGGATGCAAGTATAAAGACTTTATGACTTGCAAGCCATGAACTTTCACTGGAAAAGAAGATCCCGTCGGAGTAATGGATTGGATCTCGGAGATGGAATTAGCCTTTATGACATGTGGTTGCCAAGGCAAGTTACAAACCACATTTGCAGTACGTCAGTTCAAAGGTGGCGATGTTCGCTGGTGGAACACTATGGGGAAGACCCTAAGCCCTAATGAGCCACTGCAACTGACTTGGGCAGAGTGCTTGGTGCAATTCAAGCGTAAGTACTGCTCGGCCCAAAATGTGCTTGAGCTAGAAAACCAATTTCTGACATTGAAGAAGGGAAGTATGACCATTGATGAATATATCAATAACTTCACAGACAAAATGGAGTTTGCTTTGCGTATTGTCCCAGATGAGCTGACCAAAATTGACAGGTACGCAAAGGGACTTCCATGGGAGTATGCGGTGCCAGTGCGTCAGGCACTTACTTTGGAGGCAGCTATCTGGGCTGCCAAGTCTATTGAAGATATGATTAAGGGGAGAGCCGCCAACAAGGTTGAAGTTGGCGAGAAAAGGAAGTTCGATGGATCATCAAAATCCAACAAGAAGAGCAAGTCTGGTTCAAAGTTCGAAGAAGGAGGTGAAGCAAAATGGTGTGGTAAGTGCAAGAAGAAACACGTAGGAAAATGTGGTGCGGAAGTGACGTGTTTCAAATGTGGAAAGCATGGGCATTACGCCAATGAATGTACATTCGATAAAAGGGTGTGTTATGAATGTAATGAAGAAGGGCACTACAAGCAAGACTGCCCAAAGAGGAAATGAACTACAAAAGCTAAACGTACCTCCGAAACCAAAGGCAAAAGCATTCCCAATGATCCTTAATGAAGCAGGCGAGGATACAAGGGATCAGGAGTAAGGACTATATGTTCCAAAATCAAGATATAACGCAGCCATGCAGATAGAATCTAGTAGTGTAGCCTATAAGAGGCATAGTATAGGTTAAACTAGAACATCTTTGTAATCTTTTTTAAAAATAATATAAACCTTCGTTTTATTACCTGATGTGTCAAATGATTATGTGAAATTTTTGAATGGTGACTTGGAAAACTGCGAGACAATACTTGGGACGAGTATGAGTAGGTGTGAATAGTAGTAGAGGCCTATACAACTGGAAGCACATTACTTACACTTGGATCAGGGAAAGTCACAACGTTACCAAGAAGCTAGTAATTGATTTCGTTTTTATTCAAGTGTGTCGTTACCATTGTTTCGGTAATGACTAAGAAAATGATTGATATTCTGACCTTAGTGGTCATATCGTATTGATTCCGACTAAGATGAGTATGGACCATTTAAAGTTCTTCAGAGAATTGGGAACCAAGCTTACAAGCTAGAACTACCAGAAGAACTAGATGGTATTTATAACACTTTCCATGTGTGTTATTTGAGGAAGTTCACGGGAGAAGTTCCCGACATCATTCCAATTTCTGAATTAAGGTTGGATGAAAGCAAGAAGTTAATTGAAGAACCGGAGGCAATTGTTGACCGTAAGACTAAGAAGTTGCGACGCAAGATGGTCGATTTAGTGCTTGTGCGATGGAAACATTCGAATGAGCCAAATCTCACATGAGAAATGGAGAGTAACATGATGAGTCGCTATCCGTATTTGTTTGCTGATGTATGATTCCGGGGACAGAATCATTTTA